GACTCGTCGAGCGACATGTTGCACGACCGATCTGACAGTTTAATTGGTAGTTGTCAAAATGTTTGTGTGCGCTCTTGTCGGCTTATTGGCGAGTTTTTAAATACAGATGATTAAGATAAAGAATTGTTATTGCAATCGGAAGTAAATACGGCTTTATATGGTAAAAGTTCCATTTATGTTAAAAGCTTTAATGAACTACTTAGCATATTTTCCAACAGCTTAATATGACGGCTTGACCACCTAATTTATTTACTCAATCAAAACGACACCTTTGATAATTATTGCGTTAAACGTATCAATATCCTAATTAATCAGTCTGACATATTTTGAAATAGATCCATAAAGGTTTAACTAATGCTTTATTTATCTTGAGCAAAATCAAAACTGAGCATTTGCTAGGTCGTCAACACTAAACTGATCGGCGGATAGATCGGGCAACTGATAAAAACAAGTCATGTTATTGCAATGTTATAATTAATTCAGATTATTGTGCAATCTGGTCTGGATATTAAATGCATTAATGACAAAATGGAATAGAGTTGTCCATTGTTTTTATGTTGATACATTCAGAATATTTCTAAAGTGCTGTTAATTACGGACAGTTTAAGTCCAAGTTCCAAGGCTTCTTTTATACGCCACGCGATTTATGGCATTTATTCATGTTTATTTTTTTTTATGTCATAAAATAAGCTAAACGATGTTTTTCATTATTTATTTACACTTCGTTACCTTTTACAAAAACATACATATAAAAAATCAGGTTTCATAAGCTTTTAAGCAGCGCGCGGTCTTATCGCTAACAAGCGAAATCTTCCAGGCAATATGGAACAATAAAATAAAAACACCTACAGCGGGTAAAGTACAAGAAAGTTTATAGAAAAAAAAAACAATATGTATAAACAAAAATGTAAAAGCTAATCCAAGGTTTAATTGAGTCACAATTAATATATATATAAGTAGTAGCTAATTACGAGGCAGAAGAAAAAGGATCAAAAAGAAGATTAGTTTTTGAGTTGACACTAAAAACTTATATTTAATATTAATCGTAAAATATCTATGCTTATAATATAGTTAACTTACTGTACTACTATTTTTTTGGTTAAACCATTTTAAACCTAATTTAAATGAAACACTAAATCTTTAAGACAAGTGAGTACGACATTAAGTCGACGTAACGAAAGCCATCCCGTTCATAGTATAGCTTTAAACGAACGTAGACGAAGGAGCTTATTTCTATTGCGTTAGAGTCGTATTTTGCATGACAAATAATTGATGCGCCACGCAAGTTTTGTTTGAAGAGTTTATCTAAGAAAGGTATTTGGTCGAATTTTGTATTATAACCTGTAATGCCATTCACGTGACACAAAATCTATGAATGTAATAAATTCACTTGTTCAATGGTTTATTTATTTATTAAAGTTTACCACTTATACAATGCTTTATGTAAAGTATATGTTCCAATCTATCTATTCTAAAACACATAACAATTGTGGTAAACATAAATGTTAAAAAAAACGTGTGGCACTTGGGGACTGCCGCGGTAAAGCTATTGCATAGCATTTTATATCAACTTATGCAATTATAATTATTTGTTTATTTTATGCAGTATTTTTTTTTTCTTTGATATTAATTCAATCTACCACTCTTCAGACTAACACGCCTATACAGTCTGTCTCACTATAACGCGTACCGGCTGCACCGGCCGCGCTTACGCTACGTCACCGATCTCGTCAGAGAGATGTGAATACGCAGTATGCGTTCTGTCCCGCTCTAACGCACCTACGCTACGTCATCGATTACGCCAGAACGATCTGAGACGCATTATGCGTCTGTCCCGCTCTAACGCGTATTGGCCGCCCTTATTACGTCATCGTGTGTTAGGTTTATTTTCGTTACGAAATTTCTTGATTCGGTCGCCGCGCTCAAAGCCCGCGATAAAATGGAATAGCTTAAAAATAAAAAATACCATAAAAATATCACACTTCCAATTTTTTTGATTTCACAAGTCATTTTTTTCAATTTGTCAGCTTGCTACCGATTATATCATGCTCTGGATGGTAGTAATAGTTCACTATTTAAAAGCTCTTCCGTTTTCGTTCCGCGATAATTTTCGTTAACCCCTTGCTTGTAGTAGCCCCGCAGAACATCACATTAGCGATTCGTTTTGATATGTCATCTCCGCGCAGTTTGTGAGCCTTTGTGCCTCCCGACGAGGGACCAATTGTCTGCCCTTTTTATTATGCATTATTTAAATTATCAACACTCTTGTACCACTTGATGCCAAGGGTACCTTATGTCGAATTTGTTTTTAGTTAACGTAACATTTTAATTATTTATGCGTTACTTAATTTATGGAAATGAGATTTTGCGTTAGATTCAAAAAAGTGTTTTATTGTAAGTGAAATAATATTTCTTTGGATCTGGTTTCGTTAATTTCTATAAATTAATTATCAACATATTTGTTAGATTAATGGAAATATAGTTTTATGCTACTCTAATAGCAGTACATAGTAAATAATTAAATAATCTTTGAGTGAATGTTCATTAAAAGTAATAAATAGAACGGCCCAACCAAGTAACGACATTAATTTTCTCGTAGATAACAACTAATTAAAGCCTCTTAGCATTTGAATGGGTATACATAACCTATTCTTTGTATAATGAATAATACATATATTTAAACTACTAAATAGCTCAAACTCTTAATAAACGACCGCTGTAACTAATAAATAATCTTTATGGTATGAAATTTCATTAGAAACTAAAACACTTTATCAAAATGAGTAATATATCCAGATTGTTATCCAAAATAATGCGTCTGAAAACGAGGACAGATCTACGAACGACAGTAAATATTATGACTTCATCCGAGATTGTACGTCAATGTGACGTCTATTTCATTAATAATTTGGAAACTTCCAGTGTTGTGTGAGACTTACAATCGATAAAAAATGTTTAACCAATGGCATTTATTGAGCAGTGTTAGCCTAGTGGCTTCAGCGTGCAACTCTCATCCCTGAGGTCGTAGGTTCGATCCCCGGCTGTGCACCAATAGACTTTCTTTCTACAACATTCGCTCGAACGGTGAAGGAAAACATCGTGAGGAAACCGACATGTCTTAGACCCAAAAAGTCGACGGCGTGGTTGGCACTGGAGGCTGATCACCTACTTGCCTATTAGATTTAAAAATGATCATGAAACAGATTCAGAAATCTGAGGCCCAGACCTAAAAAGGTTGTGGCGCCACTGATTTTTTTTATTAATGGAATTTTTAGTTAGAAATCGAGATTAGCTTCTAAACGGTTTCATTACAAATCGTGTTCAAAAACTAGTTCTCTTTATAAAACTGTCAATCAATGATATTGTTCGCATCTAAATAGACTTCTTTGAATCTAACGATATAACAACAAATAGCACACTTTCGCATTAATACTAGTTAGAAGCCAAGGTTGTATTGACAGATGGTACGGCTCAGTTATTTATATCATCGGCCATTATTGATCAACACATTTTGCCAGATCACTATTGACCCGGTAACAAGATCATTTAGTTGTATTAAGTCCAGAAAATTTGGAAAATGCCTTTCTTTCCAATTTACCGAAAACCTTAAAAATATTATTTCAGATGGGCAATTATTGCGCTATGGTAGAGTCTCAAAAAATGATCCTCAGCTGTGGTGTTTTGTGTGAGATTAATGTTTATTTTATTTATTATTATTTACGATAAACTTCGCTCAGCTGGTCACCTCTATCAAATTTTTATACTTACGTTCAATGCCATAAACTCGGCCGCAAAACGTCTGAATTATAGCTGTTAGGATGCGCTATTAAATTAAAGTCTTTTTGCATTAGATAAATCGTGTTTGGGAACATCTGTCCCTCGATTACACCGATACATTATGCTCGGTTTGTTGTTTTTAATAAAAAGTTTAATCCGTTCAGTTATGACAGCAATTTGTCTGGCGGATGGAAAAACTTGGTCGATTACACGGGGCCTCACAAGGGACATCTATCGACATTCTACTTGAATTAATAACCGCAATATTTAACGCTTTTCGTGCTTTACTGTATTTAGATGTATCCAATTATGAAAGATTTTGTTTTAGACTGCGACTAGCTCCTCGACAGTCGCAGTCTTATGTTAGTTATTTTGACTATGATTTGCGTGTTGTTCCCATCAGAATGTAAGTGCGTGCTTCTTTTTCACTAGGCCTCCTCCTGATAGAGGACAAATCTTTGTTTTTAATTTATTTTATTATTATTAATGAACTATTAAATAATTAAGAAGTCATGAGGAACATGGCGTAATGGTTGCAGCTCCTTACAAACATTGTGTAAAACAAAAAACTTGGCGATTAAAAAGAGTGGCGGCGAGTTTTTTGCCAGTTCTCTTCCGTTCTACGCCCTAGATTTGAGAACTGGCAGTAAATGTAAAATTAGAAGAATTTAATATGTATTTCTTTTTGACGTTCATAAGTGTACAATGTGTTACCTATATGAATGAATTATTTTGACTTTGACTTTCACTTAGTCAGGTCTCGTCTTTAGCGTATGTATGTAGTGTGGACTCAGTTTCCGCACTTAGACGCCCATTTGGTCCGTTGTGCATACTCCTAGCTGCTTAAACCAGTCTAGCTCCTTCCAGAGGCCGCCTTTAGCGCATCAACTGTGACATGTAGAAAACACATTAGACAGAAATTTTTTACGTAGATTTAAGCGTAAACTGTTTTCATTAAGAATAATGAACTGGCCATAATCAAATACATTGACATCTCCATATTTTTAACACGTTAATAAGGTTAAATGTAATAAAATAAATTCACGAAAATTGAGACATTACCAATTGTGAACGAGCGTGGAATGGCATTCGCGGAATATTTTAATACAATATTAAGACGTCGTCCGGAAATACATTTCAATGCAATTTCGCGTCATCACCTTATAATGTCTTGCTGTACAACCATTAACAATTCAATACTGTCTTAATGAAGAGCTGATAAAATGTATATTGTGGTATTCGTCACAACTGTTGAATAGGGTTACCACAAATGAGTTTCTAGATTTTGGAAATTTTAAAAATTTATTATGATTGATTTTATTGGTATTATTTACTTCAAAGAAGTTAGCCTGTTATTTTTGTTTTAAATGATGGTAATGCGAATTCTTTCATACAAAAAGTCCCCACGGGAGTTGTCTGGTGCGTTCTCAAGTAAATTGCATACGTGTATATCCTTTCTATATTTGTTCACAATTTAACATATTGTGATGTTTGAGAGCAAAAATAAAATAAATTAAAATGATAAATAAATATCTCTATCAATTAGACACAGCGTGGTTATTGAAGCTTCAATTTTGAAATATTCACTGGAAAACTATGAAGTATTAGACGAATATAATATTGAAGGAGTGAACTGGACACATTTTGCAGAATCTATAGATTGTTTGAAAGAAGGTCTATGGAAGTTATATTATTTTGTATTGGTTTACATGGCCTTCAAAATCTTGCAAAATACCAACAACGCATTGTAATACAGTGTACTACCCTAAACAAATTAATTACCTCTTTTTGAAACTCGTTTTATGTGAGCTAAGTTTGACGGAGCTCTCGGCTGATTTGCGACCTTTTTGTCGCGACAATATATCGTAAGGACAAATTTCCCGCAGAAAGATTTCACGAACGATCTAAAGCAAATTCACTTAACAAATGGCTCCTTTTGTTTGCCGCTTATTTATGCGTCTGTGGTAATTGATCGTACGAGCAATGTTTGCGGGGAGATTTTGTCTTTGTCGCAAAATTAGGGCTTATGACTCTTGGATATTTTTTTACAAAGAGGTTTTTAACTGTAGTGTGGACTGAATTTTCGTATTTAGACGCTCATATGGTCCGTAGTACTTAAAATCCAGGCTAATTAAGCCAGCGTAGCTCCTGAAGCTCAGAAGTTTCCGGGGCACATCGCTTTACGGAGCAACCTCACTGCTCCCAGAATTTATTCAGCCTATAGAATCAAAATAATTATTATATCCACGAAACTCGATCCTAGGAACTCAAAGTTGACGCCACGAAGTGGTACCATTATACACTCTCAATCTCACACCTGAGGAACCTACACAAAATACTAATTTTATGGTTATTCCAGAACGTGGGCAACGTATCTGCTGAGATGGAGTTGCAGAGGCTGCAGCAAGAACACCTACGTCGTCAAGAGATGGTGCGGCGGGGACACCTATACCCTGCGCCCCCTCTGGGGCTGTTACCGCTGTTGGAGCAAATGAGACCGCAACAGCCCCACTCCAACGTAAGTATTTGACTAATAAATAACGTTTTACAGTGCTAATTTGTCCGGTTGTCAAAAACGTATTCGATTTGTGACGATTGGAACTGACCATTTGCACAGATGTTATAGTGCACAGACTATTTGTCTATGATATATAGTCTGGCTAATGAAAGAAGATAATTGAATTATTTGAAAACTTTCGGATGGCAACACAGAATGTCATTGAATATCTCTTAGGTTAGTGTAATTTATTGTCTTGATACTTCATCCAATTACTCATTTTATAGTTAACAGGTATAATAGCCTAAACTTTGTTTTATTTGATAGAATATTTCGTTTCTTTCGCAGGATTTGATTATTCCGAATAAAGTTGTGTTTTATAATAAAAATAGTTTTGGTTTTCCATGCAATGCTTGTCATTTTAAGTATCAATAGTAAAAGACAAAATACGTATAGTATTTAATTTAATAGAAATACAGTTACTATCAATGTAAAAAATTATAAAATAAAATCAAGTAAGTTTAATCCACAAAAAAATATAAAATTTTTTAGGGATACCATACTATTTTATTTTTAATTTGCCGCGCTTTTTGTTATCTTCTTCCATTAGCCAGACTCTAATAATGTTGGACATGGTCGGAGCATCGCAAGATGAGACAGTTTTGAGTGCTCCTAAACACGGCGATGTTCAAACATATAAAAGATATTTTTGCATTTGTTACACATTTATTACAACACACTCTTAAGATGCGTTAAAACTGTTTGGAAATCAATTAATTACTTTATAATTCAAACCATCCATACCTGTATGTTGGCTAACATCCGGTGTCTAGATCCACAGTCTTAATTAAATTGAGTAATTTCGTATATTTAATGGTTTAAATGTATAAATTATTATGTATTAGATTAATGTAAGGTTGAGATCTTAAATCAACAGTGCTTAATCATTTCAATGTAAACTAGAATTATTGAATTACAATATTAATTATGTTACCTAACTTGGGATATTATATACAGCGATATATTTTTCAACTTTAAAGTAGAAATTTGTTTTGTCTCTGGACTGTGACTAGGCATACACCTTATAAAAAAACAGAAGTCTATGCATTCATTTCTTTCTATCAAGTTGATCTCACTGTCAAAAGAGAGTTAAGTCTAGCAAATTTACTGAAATTATATAGGTCTCGAAAGGTTTTTAAATATTAAATGTATATACTTTCCCGACCTTTGTAGATACGGTATATCTTCAGTAGTATTTTGATGGACACTAAGTGTCTTTCTAGTCTGTGGAAGTATAGATCTCATATTTCCACAGACTATGTGATTGTACATAATGCCTCTGCCATTAGTGGTTTGAACAATGTCTTGTAAATAAAAAAATGTTGTTTAGAGGCATAAAGAAAGCTTAAATTTAAATAACATAACTACTGTCGTACATAGATAATAGATACGTTCATCATTCGTTCGATTTTTGAAAGCGGTTCGAAAGTCAAGTTATGTAAATTAAAATTAGCATCGAGAGAAGACGATCCGTCATCCAAATCTTGTCTATGAATGTTTTTATTTGATGTTTATACAAATTAATTGGCGCAATTTCCGTTTTGATGAAACCGTTGTCAAGGAGGCCGTTTGATTGTTAGATGTTTTATTGTAGATAATTATTAGAGATTCGTCGGTAAAAAGTTGATCAATCTTTTGATGTTTATGATGTAATGCGTTCTTTTTTTAAATTTGGATAATGAAGCGCTTTAAACATTCTAATTGTCTAAGTATTTATATTGTGTTAATGGAACATATTTAAACCGTATTTGATATTATTTCGTAGCTCTTTAAGTATTAATAAATAAACCATTCTTTAAGTAATTTATGCTTATAGTACGTTCATGAAAAGTCAATAGGGTAATAGGAAATATTGTTCAATGTGTCATCATTTCTGCTTTGTCTTATATCATTTTATATGAGTTGTATATCTGTAAAGTTTGTATAAATTAAAACGCGCGTGAGTGTTTAAAATGTAAGAAAGACGATCTTAAATAAACATAATTACGGAATCTTATACTCATGTTACAAAATTAGTCTATTATTTCTGGCCTTTGTTGAATGGTGGGCGGGGCGTGCGCAAACGCTGAAAAATGCGGATTTGTATAATTATCTGCATGGACCATGGTTTAAATATTTATTCTGGGTTTGATTCCCGGATGATGACAATATTTCAGACTCCAGGGATACAAATCTATGGATGAATAGTTAATAAAATTTTCTTCGTTTCAGGTTGTCCCATCCAACCCCTGGCCGACCCAAATGCCCCAGATGAGGTCGTCTCCCCCTCCAGACCCCGATGCACCCCTGAACCTGAGCAAGCAGCGTTCTCCCTCTCCAGGGCCTATGATGATGCCCCGATTTATGCCATACCCTCCCATGGATGAGTCATCGTATATGAAGAAGGACGACGAATACAATTCCGCTTGCAATAGTAAGTAGTTTATGATTGCAAAAGGTCGGCTACGCACTCGCGAAACAAATAACGCCGTTTGTGTGCTAGACAAAATATTTTTCGGTTATTATTTATAAACTAAAATAAAGCGCTCAATCTTTTAGGTCTGGGCCTCAGATTTCTGTATCTGTTTCGTGATCAGCCTTCTGTGCCGTCGACTTCTTGATCTGAGGCAGCTGGTTTCCTCACGATGTTTTCCTTCGCCATACCAGCGAGGGTTTTATGCGCACATATAAATTTAATTGATGCCCGCCGAGGTTCGAGCCTGGAACCACAAACCATGCTCTTATAATACTGAAGTTAAATTAATGTTAAAAATTCTAATGAATGTTTACTTATATTATACTTTACTATTATACGTTACTTATATACTATACCTTTACTATAAAAACCCTTGTCAAATTATCTTCCAACACTTTAACAATAGGCATAATATAAAAATAACGTAAAAGTTACGAAGGGAAGAGAATAAAATTTCATATATAAAAAATCGAACCAACCAGGAATCTTAAATTACCTTTTTTTTAATTGATAAAAGCTTGCCAACGCTCGGCACACTTATACATTGGTAAAAGAACCACAAGATACAATTTTTAATGTGACAAGCACTTATAGGCAAACATGTCATACACGAAGAGATAATACGAATATTAAACAAAACAATTTAAATTACAAAAAACTAAACACCTTAATTAATTAATTAATTACCTCCAGTAATGGAGAGGCACTAAAAGAAGAAGAAACACCTTAAAATTATATTACAAATGTATAATTCCCGGATATGAATTCACAATATACTACGGGGTAGTTATAATGTTGTCATTCTGTGAATCAATATTAATAACTCAAAATATACCGAACATTACGCAATTCAACACTAAAATAAACAAGGAATCGGCACAAATAAATACACCCAATGTAATTAAATTGAAACGGTCAAAAGAAATCATAAAACAATGTCAAATATGTTGAAATAAAAATTAGTTACACGAGTATTTACAATATTCTTAACGTAATAATTTAAAATGGATAAATAGAAAACTAATTTATAAAGTTTGGTCCCTGTGGCCGTGTTTCGCTGGCAGCTTTCCTGATAAACGATACTTATTTGTTGAGAGAGGAAAGCACCAGGTCTGGGGTCACCAGTACTATGTACCAGGCGCCAACTTAAATCTTTAATTAGAGCACTTGAACTCCACGGCCTATGAGTCTCTCCAGAGGGAACAACATGAAAGATGTAGGAAAGACTCTCGTGATATATCACTCATATATAAAGTTACTAGTATGCAAAATGGACAGCTGTGGCTACCAATTTATTGTATTAACAATACTAACTAGTAGTATAAATTATTATTTGTTACTAGTTCCTTTTCGAATAAAAAACGTATCTCCTATATATGAATATTTTGGTCACCTGTCTATAAATGGGAAGATTCTATCGACCTTTCAAGTTTCATCAGCACCACCTCGATAGCTGGAATTCCAGTCCGGTTCTTTAGGCATTATTTTTGCGAACAGGCGAGCTGTGAAATCGACTTCCAGTGGAGGTTAGGAGTTAAAAAAGGGCGTACTACTCTTTTAAAGGCCGGCAACCCGCTAACATAGTGTCTATGGACTGTGGCAGCTGCCTTTTTTGGCCCCTCCGTAAGCTCTCCCCCTATAATATAAAATAAATTGTTTACATCTTCAACGGTTACAAACCAAACTTCACACAGTTAAGGAACAAATAATGACCCGTCTAATTTTACTGGCCGCGAGTGTAGTTAAAACCATTCAGAAATGCGAAAACTGAAATGTCGCGTGTCGCCGCCAAAACATTTTGATGTCCGCTTCTAATTGCCAAATATTAATCCCATGGAAAGACCGCACCTGCCGTAGGCAATTTTTAATAATTGTTCATTCATTTATCATTGATTTAATTAAGAAAGATATTCAATTCTGTACGCACAATTATTAATTAAAAATTGACTTTTGTAATTCGTACAGTTATTTAAAGTATACTTTATAATTATTACTATACCAATATTGTGACATAGCTATCTTTTCTATAGGTAATTAAATCTTGGCGTCAGCTAGACACTCAAATCTGTGTCACAGTTTTAATAATGTATTTTAATTAATTATAATAATATAAAATTTTAATTTTAACTGATCTTTGGTTGGTTCGTTTTTGTTTGTCATCCCTTATTGATTATTATGTATAAAAACACGACAACTGCTTAGTAACAGTAAAATCGTCTAATTTAAACAAGTTTCAAGCAAGTTTCGTAACTTTATTGAGATGAGTACTTAATAGTTGAGAAATTAATAGTTCTCGATACAACGGGTCAAATTGAAGGCTTCCTATGATTTATTATACTGCTTAAACATTACAGATCAATTAAATTTAAGCGCTTAAGCTTAACATGTAATTTAAGTCCGAAACCAGTTGACCTGTTAGATTTTGCGTGCGTAATTACTAATTTAATTTTTGAAAAATTATTTAATTTTTTTTTTCAATGTATCGTGTTAATAATCATGCGTTATTAAAAAGATATCTAAATTTTCTACTAATTTTAATAGCTCAAAAATCTTTTGACTCCCGTCTCATATACTTACTATGTGCGAATATGAATCATGACATGAATAGTAATTACAATTAAAAATGGATATTACAATTATTAATTAACAAATTATTTCTACTATTTAAGCCTCGATATTTCTACATATTACACTTTTTATAATCGCACGTAAATTATGCGACGAATAAAATTAATAGAATACATTTTACATACTTGGCTCGCTCCCAAACCAAGATGGTTACAAAATTGTCCACCGCGTTGTGATTTCCTTTAGAATAAGACAATTTCGATGATATGGAATAGATGGCGTTTGAGACGCACATTTCCGCTTGCCGTACACTCGTGAACAGAAGTGGAAATATTTTTTAATGATTATGATCACAGCTTAAAATACAGTAACCCCTCCTATAACACGGTAGATTGGTTCCGCGTTGTAGGAATTTTTCACGTTTAACTTTTCTTTTCTCGTTATGAACGAAATAAGTGGGTACAAATCGTTATAAATGTCACAGTACAGTAATATAACGTGTGAAATCCCCGCGTTATATGGGGGAATACCCTAGCTATACGAGGGTCTGAAATCGCGTAATATGAAAATGCGTTATAGGAGTATCGTGTTATAAGGCTCATCTCGCGTATTTTAGAGCTAAATGTCAAGTTTATTTGTCTAATATGAATTTTGACAGATACAAAATTACCAATTTTTTTCCATAAATAATCGATATTTAAACATATTATTACGTTTATTAAACAAAATTGTTTTAAATGAACACGTTTTAATCTAACATTATAATTTCAAGTCATAATTTACTTTACAAAATAAATTGCTTCAAATTGAATATTCTTCTAATTAATTAGTTGTCATTTTCTAAATGTAAACTGACATATTAATTAGGATGTTCAATTTTTATTTTATTTAAATGAACTAATTAACACTTGCGATAAATATTCGGAAAAAGTCAAAATTACACATTCATGCTTTTAAATTTACTAGTTACAACGTAACGTAGTAATAGTAATATACCGTTTTGTGGTAACATTTATAACTGTTTAATTAGTGTTCAATTGAAATCCATGTGTCGATTATTCCGCACATAATCAAAGAAAATTCATCATCATCTTCAGTATTTTTATTTGGTCCATTTCTGGACGAAGGCCTCCTCTATTTCTCTCCAGTACGCCCAGTACTGGCCTACTGGGCCTACTGGGAGCCAACCTCCTTGACAATATCAAAGAAAATTAATTATTTTAAATTATATTTTTACATAGGTATACAGACACGCGTTTATTGTAAAGCTTTACATTCGGTAAAAGATTACATTTTATTCGATTGGTTTAAGGTCCTATTTTAATGATACCAATGCGAAGCGTACCTACAAAAAATGAAGCAGTAATTAGTCTACGTGTTTTTACTCTAAAGAGTTGTAACGTACACATTCGTGAAATATAACTTGTACCCACTGGAAAGCCGAAACCCGTTAATTACAAAACTCACTCACCTATTTACAAGAATAACCAACCGAATCGTGTAGGCGTCCCGAACATTGTTCCACATCTGTCAAATACCACAAATGTAATTGACCGTTCGCGAAGATTGTCAAATAGCAGAAATTACGCGCGGAACAGTACTGAAAATACAGAATTCACGTATCGTAGGATGTAATAAATTATCTAACAGCGTGTCAAATTAATACAGGGAATGCATTACTTTGAATGTTAGCTTATTAATTGTGAGGACACTTGGTAACGAATCCGTCAAATGAAATGCTAAGCGGACGAGGCGTGACCTACATATTTAGCAGGGTTGTATGACATTTCCGCGCGATTGTACATGTTTTTTGGAATTTGCAATTCTATATTTATTGGGTAATTTTGTTTTGGATAAACGGTCTTACATGGATATGGTGAATATCCACGGTTAGATTAATCCGGTAATTGGACATCAGCAATCCCCTTGTGGTTCCTAGGAGTTTTTTAAGGGTAGCGACTAGTGAATTCCTGTCCAATTGTTGACTATTCCTGGCCCTATGAACACTTGGAATTTAATTTTTAAAGGAGGTACGAAAAACAAAGACTTATAGATGTATAGGTACTAAATATACATTTTCGAACAATATTTGACAATTATAATCAATGGAAACATGTCATAACTTATAAATATTATCGTGTGTCAGATACATATCTAAAAGTAAAAATGAAAAATGTGAAACACGCACTTCTAAGGCTATTAACTATTAATTTAAGCGAGTTTCTCACTTCATCTATGCACGGCATTAAATTATATGACTGGAAACAGTTAAGATTAGAACATTCCAAAATATTTACAAAATGCTGGCGTAATCTCTGTTTTCTCTTTATTTACCGATGCACGTCATTCTAATCTTTAACTATTGTTGATAAAGCATCTTCTTGCGTGTATATTTCGATGATAGTTTCTTAATCTGTAAGACGGTCCGTACGAATAGAACTCAATCGGAAGGCTCGCTAAGCCACGCTATAAATTACAAAGAGCAATGAATGCCGGCTGTAAAACAATCGTTAAACGGAGATTAAGAATGAATGTCTATTCTGAAGTATGCTTTGTTTACGGAGTTAAACACTCAAGTGCTTTTGAAATTGTCCATTCAGACTACCAGGAGTATTCATTGAATATCTTTAACAATGACTAAAGATTCACTCACGTCTTTGGTTCTTTAACACGCCAAACCTTATTGACATGTTCTTCGTAGATATGTATTTATATCCTAATGAATTTGATTGAAATTTCAGCATCTTCATGGGGCCAAACACCTCCAGAAGAAGCAGAGAAGGCGAAGTTGATCCGGCAACCGAAGCGCGACGAAGCCGGGAAACCTCACATCAAGCGACCAATGAACGCTTTCATGGTTTGGGCGAAGGATGAGCGCCGTAAGATTCTTAAAGCTTGCCCAGATATGCACAACTCGAATATATCGAAGATACTCGGCGCCAGGTGGAAAGCTATGTCTAATGCTGAGAAACAGCCCTATTATGAAGAGCAGTCGAGACTGTCAAAACAGCATATGGAAAAACACCCTGATTACAGGTAAATACGGTTTACGATATTTTATTTCTCATTAAGAATATTACAACATTCACTTATACTACTATTATAATTGTATATTAAAATAATAAAAAAATACAACAGCAGGCATCACACTTAGGTATTAAATAAAAATAGCAATTACAAACTTTTTACACAATCCTACATACACGTCAATAGTTCAAAGTTGTATTAATGCTGTCCAGGGCTTTAGCTCGTGTCATATTTTTGATTTGGAATAAAACGTAAAAAGTCATAGTTAAATTATGTCGAAATTCAATACATTGTTGAGATACGGAATGTCAAGTGCAGCATGGTCCCCAACGCAGCATGGTTGCAGTTTCTGTCTTTCAACTTAGCAATTAAGAAGAGCGGTGGATGTAGAGCGAGCGAGAAGCCAGTTTTTCTCGCCCGCTCTACATAATTTGGTTACTGGTATTCAGTGTAAAACCTTCCTTTTTAGTATTGACGTTCGTATACTACTAGAATACACTTATTAGATTTATAGGTGATTTTGTGCAACGCGTATTATAAGAGTTATTGAATATTCCTATAGATACTGTTAATTAAACCTAACATACAATACATAGCTCTTTACCAGCAATGTACTGTACTGCAGCTGTAATGTACAAGAAATAAAAATTAAAAACATATAGGGAACATTTTTATAGAGAAAATGTCTTAGAACTTTCCGTTTGCTGTTCTAATGAGTTTTTATCAACTTTCAGGTACCGACCCCGACCAAAACGAACTTGCATCGTCGACGGCAAGAAAATGAGAATATCCGAATATAAGAATCTAATGCGTACGCGCCGACAGGAGATGAGGCAGCTGTGGTGTCGGGACGGTGGGAGTGAGCTGGGCTTCTTACCCTCCCTCTCATCCCCGGGGCCCTCGAACACGTCGCCACCCCCCAACGGCGGTAACTACATGAACCCCGGTTTCTCCCCCCCACTTTCACCTAGAGAGGAAGATTGAGGTACGGCGCGCGGCTGGCCCTACCCGCACGCCGCGCCCCTCTCCATGCCCCCTCCTCATCCCTGGTAAAGCTTCATCGGCGACGTTGACAGCTACGTCAACTGTCAACTGTCAGTGAATCGTTAGAAGCCAGTGTTGCAATGCGATCTCTCTTGTCATGAGATTATTCCATTAGTGAGCTAAGCGAGGACTTGATGAACTCTGTGTGAGGCAAAGATGTGCCAAACGAAACCACTTATTTAGAAAAAAATGTACATAAAATTTAACTTTTCTCTTGTAAATAATTTTGCTTGTAGATATTACTTACTGTAGTATTGTTTGAAGGAATAGTTTAATCAGGCTTATCTTAGCGTCAGTATGTTGCCATGTGTATAAAACCCTTAGTTATACATATAGAAGTTAGACTTAGAAATGTATCAAACCAAAAATTTAAAGCGGTATGCTTGAAAATTTAAGTGTTTTGAACACGTATTTTTGAGACCAGTGAGAGCAATGGATCATAATAAAAACATAATACTCATATACCTTAGAATAGCTCTCTACATATGCCTAATTTAATGTAATAGGTAGGAATTATATTCAGTAGTTTTGTCTCGTATACATTTGTATTAAAATGAAAATTAAACTAATTTGTAACTAAGTAGCAAATTTTGGAACTGTTCTCTTCATTTTCACTTTTAATAAATTGGCTTATTTCGCCCACAAAATCCAGTTATATAGTTTCACTACCAGTGTTTAACACGAACGGTGGTCAATTCGAACCTGTCAATTTGTATGAAGAAAGTTTGCCCACCGACGACGGGGGAACAAATTTATACCAATAAACGATATTTGTCAGAAAAACACTAAATTGATATAAATGCTTTGGGGTCACTGGATTTGGAGTCGACGTGAGACTATGACCAAACTTAGCTAACGAATCGTTTTTGGACTGTTGAGGTTGTTAAAAGATAATACTATCCGTGGAGTCATTGATTGCGATTCAAGCGACAAAAGCGCTACAAGCCCGTTCGCAGCAACTTCAATACAGTGAGACACCTATAGCAAAAGAAATCGCTTTATCGAATCGTGCAATTTAATAGTTTTAAGTAGTATTAAGCTGTAACGCATAATATCTACATATTTAATAAATAGTAACATTGTATAGACTTGTAGTCAGTATATTGCCATTTCTGAATTCTGTTATTTAATTTTTTAATTAATAGTTTTGTATGGTGGTATGAATCTTGGGTGTTGCCATTGAGGCAAGAATGTATTGCATCGTTCTTGTCTCAACGTGATAGCCTTGGTCTCATGGTACTTCATTATATGCCAGTAAAATTATTCGAATTGTGTTAAGTGTTAGCGTAAGATAAGTAAATTATTGTGTATGTGTCTTACTGTTTTATCTTAGCGTAGTGTGTATTATTCTTAGTAAATGTGTAAGAATTAGCAGTGCCGTTAAATTATTTATTTTTATGTTGGAATTCATTGTATTGTAAATAATTACTTTGTTTTCTATTGGACAGTGCTTAACTTGTTAATCAACCTTGGTAGTTTGATAAAAGAATGTCACAAAAAAGTTGTGTGTATAAGCTGTGGGCGATTTAACAATGTCTATTTTTCGATGCCTGTCAAGTAGAGCACAGAGTACTAATTGAAATAATGCGATATTTTTGTCAATTTTCAACCAGATAATTTTAATTCTGGTCTATTTATTATTGCCATTTCTATATACTTAACCTATGTACTTACGTGTCTTGTTATTTTATGTTGTCTAAATTATTTCTATGAGATTTTGTTATCACTAAATCGTATTATAGGTAGTACGTAGGTACCTTCTACCTAGTAGGTATAAACCAGGACACATTATTCAAGAATTGTGCCAAAACCCAAAAGTTTAATAAAAAGTAAATATTAAAATGATTTTATTGTTTTATTTATAAAAATAATTTCACATGACCACAATGGCTGTATTAACTAAACTCTTAGTAAACATATTTTTTTAAACAGTGATATTTATAAAGGAATGTTAATTGTAATTGTTCATTGCATTAACAAGTCGAATCACTACTGCTAATTAGAGCTTACCACTAACAAGTTACCCCTTACAGGTAACTCTAGTAAGTATAAACCAAGGGAATTAATGTACTAAAAGAATAACATATATTTATTAATACCACATTATAAGAATACATGATATGGTTACAATGTTAAGTATATACTAAATTTACAAAAATATACATACAAATAATGATTATATAAGGATCCTTTTATATTATAGTCTGCACTCCAACAAGGCGAACACATTTTTTTAATTTATTTGTATACACTATTGCACACAAAAAACAAACTACTCAACTTAGAAAGAGCAAAATGTTATTGGCATTTATTTATTATAGCTGTAAGTTTATATACAATTACTATTGTTTGCCGGAAATCGAACCTCGAACCTTCGTGCTATATAAACGCCATGTGCGTAACCGGGAAGTCAATATTTACATGTTGAAATAATTTAAGAGTTTTTGAACTGAATACCATACCATACGGGGATCCTATTTGGTTGAAAGCTAGTTAAAAACGCGATTAACACATTTAATAATACATATTAGTTTTTAAAATATCTCATCTACAGACCATACACTAAACTATATTCGAGTAAAATATAATAATAATATATTAATAACAAATAGGCCACGATTACCTGTATCTACAACAAACATACATACCTATATTATTCTAAAAATAAAAGATATAGCGAACCGATAATTTGAGTATCAACGGCAGTACAAATTGTGCATGTGAAAATTACTGTATAGCGACAGCTGTTGATAGAACTTACTATTGTAACTACTGTAATGTAGCATTTCACTTACTCTCGCTTACCCATAGGGGGCGCTATAACAAATGCAATCAAGTATTTACATTAGTTCCGCTTGCCAATCGTAGATGGCGCTGTAAACAAAATATACGAATTATAAAAAAGATTTTAACGATTTTTAAACACATCAAGAGTATATACAATAGTAACGAAAACCTAAAATTGTTAGTTTTAAAATATTTAGTTAATTAATAACGTAAGCATGTTATTCCCTGGCAAAGAGTTAGAAACGTGATTAAGACTACAAAATAAATATTGTATACAAAATCTTATTATATTTTTAACAAAAAATGTTCAGTTTTGCGATAATGACATATATTAATTTAGGATATATAGGTGTAAAAATTACGTATGTGGATACAAGTGTAAAAATTTTAGCTAATAAATAGAGTTTATGTCATACAAATGTAACAATAACTTATTTTAAAAAGAATTAGCGCTACGTAAGCGTATTTGGAACAAATCTTGTAGCTTGTAGACAAAGAAACTATTCGAAAGACGTGACCCACTACCGCTACTACTAATTAGTATGGAAATGACACCAGCACACGTGACCGTTTTCATACAAATTCATTTGGCGTTAGTGGGTCACGCCTGTTGCAAAGTGGGTTTGTCTCAAGCTCCAGGACCACGAAAATCGTTCAAATGTTAAATAAAACAAATGATATGAAAATATTTTGCGTTCGAACTGTCACGTGACAATTGACTGGTTAAGTAATTGTAACCTTAACGTCTTGTAATAGGACTCAAACTTAAAATATCACATTAAAGTTTTAGTTTAAACATCTTTTAATCGATATTTTGAAAATGTCATAGATTCATAAAATTAAATTAACGAATGACTATAAATAACTTTACTACAATAATAAATATTATGCGATAATTACAATATGGAGCCAAAGTAACACAATACCATAACTACTAATAAACTTACATTAAAGTACAAATGCCATTAATTGTACAAAAATATTGTCACTGACCGGTTTTACATTAATAAAATATAATGTTCGCCTAAAATAAAAACGAAAAGATAATTTGTATTCAAAGAAGCAAGTCCTAAGGACGGCAAAAACATGTAGCAGACACTGAGCCATAATAATTATTCTAAGCTGGGGTGGGGTCACTTTATGTCAAAACGCAAAGTTGTAGTCGTCTATTGGAGTTCTGAAGTAAATTATAAGGATTTTTTTTCTAAAAGCATATAGTAGACGCCACATAGCCGTTACACACACATAAACATCTAGTATCGACATATTTCCTAACAGTTCCAGCACTTTTGAATCTACACATTACGTAATATGAAGCTAATATTGGGTCATAGAACACTCTGATATGAAAGATACCTCGAAACTATTTTTTTGGGATAAGCTTATTTCCAACGCATTTTTGTAGCTCTGAAGTGTGCAGACTCGCAATTACTTATTAAGAACATGGCTCCTAATAAAAAAATATTGCACCGTTTTAACAAAAGTACGCACCTGTACTTTCATAACAGCATAAAAACAATTGACTGATGTTTTGTCTATATCTATTGTTCTGGGCCACAGATTTCTAAAACTTTTTCGTAATCATTTTTGTTTTCCAGATTAAAAAACAAAGCCGCCATAGTCCGTCGGACTGACAACTTAAAAAATACCCGCCAAATTGAAAACCTCCTTTGAGGTTCTTGTAAATAAACGTGGCTAACGCTACAAAGAGGGAGTTTCTAAAAACTACTGTCATTTAATTTAACGTACAAGATGGGCACAATTTAATTTTATTCAAATTCAAACAAGCGCCGTGAAAACTATGGCCACACTTAAAGGCCCACAATCCGCCATCTTTTATTAAAAAATCGTTTTGTAATGGCAATCCACAGAGTGTGCAATCTAATTGTGGAGTCATTATTTCTAGTACATCATTTATATTAATATTGGTTTTGTTAATTTTCTCGTATACATGTTTTAGTCCCCAGTGTTCGGACGTCGCTGCTATTATTAGGGGAAGAGCCGTGTTATTGATTTTTCCGTCCGACGAATTTCGAAGTAGCGCGTATAACTGAAATTATAAAAAACACACTAAGTACATAGTATTATAAATGTGTATAAATCGCTAGCTTAATTAGCCTTTCAATCAATAACAACCTAGCCTCTTAATTAAACAGCGCCGTTTAACTAGCAGCCTGAAAGATATTCAGCCAGTTAATGAAACAGCTAGGCAAATGACATTGATCGATGACATTCATTACTTGCCTAGCCTGTGGACTGTTAATTTAAATTTAGTTCTACTTTCTGCCACCTAGCGGCTAGTGTCGAAACTCATTAAACTGTAAATATGGCGTCCAAACCCAATGACAACTTTGATGGTGTTTTCCATATTATATATTATTATGTAGAATTGTTTGAGTGTAATATTGTAATTAATATTAATTTAATAGTTATCTAAAAATCGACCTTTTAATTGTTTAAGAAAAAAATGCACGCCATTATATGTGGTAGAATTTGCGAACTCTTGCAAATAAATTATTATTAATGCATATAAATATTAATTAATTTTAATTCTTATGACGTAAGATAAGATTTTTTTTAGAACACAGATCAGAAATTTCATTTAAATTGGTAACATCAATGTTCTTATATATTCCTCAAAATTCAAAACATTCGCAGTTATCATACATGAATTTAGTTACTATATTCACCAGAGACCCTTGTCAAATACGGTCCAAAGACCTTGGTTACACAGTTAAATGTCATACTTAAAAAAAATTTAAGTGAGTGAATTGTAAAGTAAGGAAACTCACCTGTTTTCTTGCTTCTTCAAACTCATAAGCACTATACAGCGTGTCCACTAACGGTACAGTTATTGTCACATCAAATTTCTCAAATAAACACACCATCAAACATGAATGATAAAATTTTAAAGTCAGTGCACCTGTATCAATCAGATTTGCATGTTTTTTCATTATATTAATCGCATTTCTTCCACCGATGGACTTTATTATTAGCGACCCTAAGTCGTCCCAACTCAGCATATCTCTAACTGATATATTATCAAATTTCTTATTGCAATTCAAACATATATTCGCATGTAATGTTGCATATAATTGTATTGCTCGGTCCCATGTGTCCAATGTGAACTGAGGGAGAAACGAATGCAACAAACTCTCATCAAGCATTTGCACTAAAATTCTCAAAACATGCAGTAAATCTTCATTTCGTCTCAAATATAGTATTTTTCTCCATAGATATGGCATTCTCTTGCACATTTCATAGCATTGCTCCTTTGTTTGATTTGACCACTGTTGCTCAATAAATTCATCTATTAATTCCGAAAACACTGGCATTTGACTTGTCCGTACATATGGGAGAGGAAATCCGCACTCACAACCAACATTCATTAATTTTTGAGTCTTCACATTCACTGCTATACACGAATTCACAAAATATTTATACAGCACATCACTTTTGATTATCAAATCCAATAAGTCACTTTTGCGCATGCAAGTGTTTAAGTATGTCAGAAAAATATTGTACGGCACAAACTTTGAATCCTCAATTGCTCCAACCGATTTGCAATATTGTTCTAATAAAAGCATCAATTCATATATTTCACTAATATCACAGCTGTAATCTTCTACGATAGAGATTAAATTCGATTCAGACTCCTTATTAACGAGGCTTAGCCTAGAGTACTGGTATAATAATTTACAACATTTATCTTCTTTACTTTGTAAATTATTGTCTATTTCAATGGTTTCTTGACTAGATTCTTTAAAAATTATTTCATCATTTATGACAGGTGTATCATCAAGTGAGTAATCATCACGAGCCACCCATTTAGGTGTACTTTCACTGTCAAATTGTCTAATTGGATTTATTTCTTGATTTCGGTCACTGAAATTTTTCACTTTCTCTTCAAAATCTTCCCATTTCTCCTTCAATATTTTTTTACTAGAGTTAAATTTCCCTGAGACAGTTACACTTAAGCCTTTTAAAGCTTGTAGTGCCTCTGGTGATAAGGTATTAAATAAGTTGTCATCATTATGTTTTATATCATAATTTTCATCTAACAGTGATTGTGAATATGGATTGTCAACCACATAAATTCCTGATTTCAATTGAGTTGCTTCACTTGATTTTAATTTATCAATTTTAATTAAAACCTCTTCTACACTTGATAATAAACCATTATTCTTCAATTTATCCCTTAAACCTATCAAAAGGTGCATTTTCATAGTTAAATTGTGCTCTAGCAGATATTCTTTATACAAGGCACAAAGTTCCGCACACAACACATATTTTTCATCAATGTAGCATTTCACTAGAAATTTGTCAATTTTCATGAATTTTAAACTAACAAGTGAGCCATTTGAAAGCCATACATACAACATGTCATTTATAATTCTGCAATCAACAATATCATCATACACATACCACACAGTATCATCTACTTCATTGATATTCAAAAAGTATAATGCCCTCTTATTAAACGAGAATATTACACTGTTCATTGAGTATATTCTTGAGAAATTAACTGATTGTCCTTCACATTCATACTTTTCATTTTCAATAGCCACATTTTCATTTTCATAAGATTTGGTTGTTATTATTTTCAATGGTGGTTTAGCAAGTACCTGTTTAAATTGATGAGTCCGTCTCACCATTCCATCAACTGTTGCTTCCCAAATTCGTGATGATGGTCTTGCACAATACATAAGAGTGTTTGAGAATTCATCACCAACAACAAATTGGGCATCATCAACGATATTGTATTTCTTTACTTCAGTAATTTCTATATTAGTTTCTGCAGTACCATTGGCCTTAGTTTCTGAAACTATGAAACAAGCACCAAATTCTCCATCTCGTAATTTTTGTCCAATTTGTCTATACTGCTCCTGTGCTGTATTACAAATGTAACATCGAGTCAATGTAGAAACTAATAGCATACAATCTCTACAATCAAGTTGACATATTCGTGAGTCCAGACTCATGATGATTTGTGAAGAACCATGGAACATACTTTTAGTCTGGAAATATATATTAATAAATTCAGTTGAGCTTATAAATAAATAGGATGTTGCAAATGTTTACTTTAAAACAGGAACGTGATTTTATAAAAATATTTACTTACAATGAAGCTATTCAGCTGGAGAACAGATACTTTTCCAACATCATCACCAGTAAATAACATATTTCCACTCCATATCATAGTAGTGACTTCATTACCCAAATGTTCTTTGGATGAAGTGGTGGAATCATTTCGACTTAAATTTTGATCACATTCCGTGACTGTCACCATTCCTTTCCCATTTGCAAATCCAATATGCTTCTCATTTACAGATATGGCCAGTCGTGTAATAGGCCCATCCTAGAATTAGTTTAAAACAAACATTATTTCTATAGCCAATTAAGATATAAATTTAACTGATGATTTTACTATCAAGTAGCTAGGCATTCAGTAAATCAAATTTAACAGTGAAATGTTAGGACAGAAATGCATTGATAATAATAATTATGTAATCTGCTTCACTATATAAATCTTTACCTTATTAGGGATCAATTGTATGAATTCACATGGCCATCTATTAAACACATAGATTCCACCACTAGTCGCTCCAAATGCTATTAAAGATTTCGATACATCAAAACAAGTATACTGAAATAAAACAATGTTTTATTTTACTATATTTCCACAACACATTAAAATTTGTTAACATATTCAGGAATGGCTACACTCATTTCTTTCTTTTATATAGATATCTTTATAAATAACAAACTATAAGAACATTAAATATTACTATGGGTTACATATATAACTATTATTATAACATAATTTCAAACAAATATTATATCAGTAAGACAGACATAATTAACAATAATAATGTTTTTTTTGTGTTTTGGGTTTTATTGTTAAAGGTGATTTCACTGTTAACAATGTATGAAATTCTATAACAATTATATTCTATCTTTAATGAAACTTATAACTGCATTACTTAAGAATGACTGTTTTACTGACATAGAACAACTTAAGAAGAACCCTTTCAAGTCTAATATAGTTAAGAAAGTAGAAAGAATGAAATATGATTCTTATTGGATATAAATTATCTTAGAAATACTTGTTTCAACCTTGAATATAAATAGCTTTTCTGAATGAGTGCGGTAGGGCAAGTTATTATCTAAATGCAAATATATACTTTTGAATAAGTGCCAAATAAATCTTAACGATACTGACCTTAATGCGCTGAATATTTTTTATGGGAAAATGTATACTTTCTGTGATATCCGGCAGCTCTTGAAGAATGTAAGGTGGTAATTTAAACTCCGCCATAGTTTATGCGGACATTTTCTCATAAAAAAATAAAGAATACACACAAGAATATATGCTACTTAAAAAATACTTTATTCAAAAATGCTACTTTTCATTCGCTGTTCTACACAACGAAAATTCACATTTTAGTTTCCACAACATGCAAATGAAAATGGTAAAACGCTTATTTATTACAGCTTTATTGTCATACGTCAAATGTCATTTTGATATTGGCAACTCACTTTCGAACTACAGATACAAATTTCATAGACCATTCTGGTCATTATTATTATTATATAAATTACATTTAGGGGGCCTCATAGCCTAGCGGTCTTATTAAGTGGCAGCTAGGTGAGGGGTACCGGGTTCGATTCCCAGTTCGAGGGCAAACTTTAATTTAATTTAAATTTGTTCTCGGCCTTTGGGAGGGTTGTGCGGTACCGGGCGAGTGCCTAAACCGTACATGAAGGACACGGTCGAATTTGTAAAGACAAGCACGAATTATAAAAAATCCTATACTTGACGCTGGCTAATGCACAAATCGTGCCAGAGCAATATTATTTGATAAAAGCATTGTACATACTATAGGTTTTATTTGCAACAATAATTACACAATATGTACTGAATTTAACAAAAAAATAATAAAAATGATTTATAAAAAAATACTACATAAGGGGGCATAAAAGTTTTATTGGGTGTCGAAAAATTATTTGTAAATACATTGCAGTCGATTTTAAAATATCCTAGGATATTAAATACTGTAACTATGTATTACATGTAGATAATTTAAATAAAAGTAGGTGTTATTTTAAAACTTTATCTATACAACTTTTAAAAATAAATTAATACTATCTACTCCAACATCATTTTCTGCAATACACCGATAGGTGCCTTCGTTTTTCTTCTTTAAATCTTGAACTTTATATTCCAATTTTCCAGTTCCATGCCCCCTAAAATGATATGATACAATTTAGGGAAAATATTAGTTATATGACTCACAAAAAATAACATAGATAAACGAGATCACGTCATTATTTCCTTACGGCCGGAATAACTGAGGTATTGTGTTTCACGATATGCGTCATCGCAACATTATAATAATTTTAATAATAATTATTATTAAAATTACCACAATAGTTTATGGTTTGATACCACAGATTGTAATGTAATGTATCACACAAATGTAATGATCACGCGTAGGACCTCCGTTAACGAACTTTATTTTAATAATGGAAGTAATATACTTACGTTGTTAGAACAGAAATGTTTGTATTAAAGGCGATGAATTCCCATCGAGTGGAAGGTAAGGGGTTCCCTAAATTGATATAACAATTAAGATATAACGTTGTTCCAATCATCTGAGTTATATTATTACTAACTGGAGATATGTATGGAGCAACTGAAAGAAAATAATGATTTAAACATTGTTAATAAACACGTATGTGGGAGAATAAAAATACAATTTCAATAGGATTTATTAGAAAGCGAAATCAAACAATTTCATATGTGATTCATTCTAGTAAACACAATTAAATTAGGCTTTCATCTCTTTTCCTCAAATTGTCTTTTCACTTTGACGGAGAGAGACAGATTGTTAAAACGGAGCAATAAGATTTATTATTTACGAGTAACGGGGTCAATATATAATAATGATATACATATATACATACCCCAAACATTAACGTGAACAGTACGTGTCGCAGTTCCCATGCTGTTTTTAGCTATACAGTGATACATTCCAGAATCATTTAATTGTGCCGTGAATCTAAAATCAATATAACTTTAGGAACTAAAAATGCAAGAAATCTGAAAATAATCTTCTAAAGTCACGTCTTATTTCGTAGCATTCTTGTTTGCCAAAATAAACAGGATTTCTTTTTAATTCTTCATTTTTCTTTTCAACAACTGGTCAGCGAAAGATTGATTGAATGTTAATGGAATTTTATTTTAAGAGCCAGGCAAGTAGTCATCGGGGTTATGACACTTTTGTGTCTTCCTAAACTTTATTAGATATAAGTCCTTATATTGAATTGGAATTTCATTACATCCTATATCAACTAAAGTGACTCAAAACCGAGGCGTGACAGCAACCAACACTATGCTACAAATTTTGTGTATCGTAAATTAGACCTTATTATAAACGACAAATAATTCAAAATAACTCCTAAGGACTCATGTTTAAGTAAGTACCGATGTGTGTATGATGAATCCGTATGGTGTCTTTCATCAAATGCAATGATGACGTCATCCTGGTACATGTCCCAATGTACTTCAGCCTCTGGAACAGCATCTACGTCACATGGTAGCGAAACCACATCCCCCTGTTTTACTTCTAGAGACTCGTCCTGATTTTTGATTCTTGGTTGATCTAGAGAAGAACATTGATATGATTTAATAAATATTGATATCAATGATACCACAAATTATATGTAATTTAATATCATGGAGTTATTTGCTGAGTAGTCATCGCCAGGGCCCGGCGGGAGACGCTAAGCTTAAATTAATAAAGTCCCTTTCTGGGAAGGAGGAGACCAGATACTGGAGCGTTGCTTCTTGGCCACGTATCTGCCCGCCCGTGGACGGTAAGCTAATAGAGGTCTTCATAACAATTATAATAATTAGTTTAGCATTAGTAATGGTAATACGAAAGAACTCCAAGAAATGATATGACGAAACTAACTCTCAATTTCAATTCTTTAAATATTTATATCGATGTTGGTAGTCACTTCGTTTACATAGAACATCAATAAAGCATCAGTACTACTAAAGTTATGTTGTTTGCCGACCAAGTGCGACAAAAAGATATGCCCTTACACTGTGTTGTGCTCTTTGTATTTTTAAATTAGTATTGCTTAAACATTATAAATAAACTAATAGCCTTGGTGCCTGAAGGTGTTCACCACAATCCAAATTACTTTTAAACTAAAGAGTTATAATCTAGCACCACACTAGTGAGCGAAACAGTTACTAGGTGTCTAAATTTATAATTTTAAGATTCTGAATCCTCAAAAATTTAATCGTCAGATCAGCATTACTTAGAAAAATTATCCATGAAAGAAAAATCCACTTTGTTAATTGCTTCGACCTCTAAATCTTCTTTTATATATTAAAAAAGATTTGCTAATTGTTTCGTTATTTTTAATCAAATTTGTCTCATCAACAGAAAAAGAATTATCACCTTAAGAAATATCAAAAAAGGCATTTCTACAGAATTTTTGGTTTCTTATTCTTCTTTTTCCATTTCCTTAATTAATTGTGTTAATTCAAGAAATTGCTCACTATTTTGATTTATTTTAACATCTACTACTCTTTCAGCATCATTCAATATTTCAATAACTGCATCTTTTAAATCTTTAGATATTTTCTTAGAAATAATCGGATTGATAGGTTCGGTATTTTCAATAAGAGCATTATAACACTTACATTGCACTTTCACTAACACTTGCTGTTGATCAACACCCAAGGAATTATTTGCCTCACATAAGTACACGCCTCCATGATGCGATTGCGCTGATGGTATTTTCAAAACGTTGTCTGATATGTATACGCCTTCGGGAATTTCTAAGAAACTAAAGTCATCTTCCAATCTATACTTCCAAGATATGGACGGTGTGGGTTTTCCTTGTGTAATCCTGTAAATTTTACTTTATTACTGGAGGGAATCGGATCTCATTATAAGCGCTTTTGATATAGGCTTCGAAGTTACTAATACTAGCTACAAAGCACCAAATATATATAGTATCATTGTACTCACATCTTCTATAGTTAAACCAATATAAATAAGAGGTTCTAAGTTCTACTAGCCCCTACACATTCTCTGTTTAATTATCAGACAAGGCAAATACACAACAATACTATAACAAAACATCTAACTTAAAAAACACTAGGTAGGTTTAATTACTGGTAGGAATTAATTGTTTTTAGTATTAAATTATAAATATTGACTTACAAGCATTTCTGTTCGGTCCAATCACCTGGTTTTAAAATTACTTCAGTTTTCTCTATTTGTATAACAGGGGCCTCTAAAATAAAATTTTCATTTATTTTAATTTCGTTAAATTAAAATAAAACAAATAACATAAATTATTATGCAACAGGCGGCTAACAAGCGATCTCTTCCAGGCAAACGAACTAAAAAAAGGGTAAAGTGCAAGAAGTGTACTGAAAATTATAAAATTACCAAATTTAATCTAAAATAAAAATAGTAAAATTAATTAAAAACTAAAAGCTAATCTCACGGTTCATGAATAAGAATGTAATACAAAAGTAAGAAAATTTAGCTTGATGTTACATCTACAAATAATTTCCGGCTCTCACTGATCAAGATTTAAGACATTAAAGTAAAGTATGTACCTTTATGTACAGGGAAATTAGTAGGGAAAGGTAAGGACTTTATCATAACAGACGTGAAATATTACCTAAACCAGTGATAAAAACAACAGCAGTGTACGTTATAGATTCCACGTCATTTTGTATATCACATACATATTCGCCAACATCATCTAGATCCATGTTTTTTATTAATAACCAGTTCTCGTCAGGATTAATTTCCACTCGTTCACTATCTACTTCAGTACCATTATGGATCCATTTAATTTCAGCTTCTGGATATGCATTAACTTTACAGTAAAGCTTGCCAGTGTCGCCGTAATTCACTGTTATATCTGAAATTAAGTATTGTAGTTTATTCTTAGGTTAATAAATAATTAATTCACTGTTTTATATAACCGCTTGACTATACAGGGCGTCCCAATCTAAAAAAGCTAATGGTACGCCACGCAATCAAATCAATATAAGCTACTCGAAATACTAATCCTGCGCAGACGAAGTCGCGAGCACCAGCTAGTGTGTCATAAGTTTACTACCTTAAGTGTTCGTGATTTAGTTTATTTATTGTTTTCGTTGTTAGATACCACTTAGCGTGGATTAAAATGATTTGATCTGTACCAATCCATCTAATTATTAAGAGCTTGATTATATGGGAAGATTTTGCTGATGTGAAACATCTATAGCCGCACGTA